GCCATTTTTCTGAAGAGATTCCATCTCCTCGTGCATGGCAACCATCCACTTATTAGAATGTTTGGATTGAATGGCCTCGTTGTAGCTTGTGGGCTCCAGAACAGACTCAACTTCATTGGCAACTGTAAGTGCATAAGCGACAGAATTGGCTTGAACATATCTCTTTGGAGGTACAATCTGTCTGCGAGGTCTATCTCTTGCAATGGAGGGACTGTGAGGTTGGCTTGGAGCTTCGGCTGGCTCATGAGAAGAGGAATGTTGATTATTCGAGGGTTGAGAAACCTCGACACCTTCATGAGACTGGTCCTCGAAAGATGAATTTAAAGGAAACTCCACCTCCACTCGAACTTTGTCTTTTTCCGAATTTTCATTTTCTCTGGTCTGAATGTTGGAGACAGGATGAAGCATGGCTTTTTCATCGAAGGTCACATCTTTAGATGTCAAAACCTTGCTTAGCTCCGGGCTCCATAATTTGAACCCTTTAACACCTGTCGGATATCCGAGAAAGACGCATTTAATTGCCCTCGGTTCCAATTTACCGTTATCAACTCGGGCATATGCTGGACATCCAAATGGAATCAATTTCGTGTAATCAGCAGGTTGGCCGGACCAAAGCTCAAATGGGGTCTTCTTTTGAATAGCACGAGAAGGGGAACAGTTGATAATGTAGCATGCGGTTGAAGCGGCCTCGGCCCAAAAAGACTTCGGCAACTTCGAATGAGATAGCATGCATCGGACCTTCTCCATGATGGTGCGGTTCATACGTTCCGCTACGCCGTTCTGCTGTGGTGTATGAACTACGGTGCGATGCCTCGTAATTCCTTCCCTACGGCAATAGGAGTTGAATTCTTCAGAACAAAATTCCAGTCCATTATCAGTACGAAGGTATTTCACTTCAAAACCTGATTGCTTTTCAACCAATACTTTCCAATCTCTAAAAGTTTGGAATACTTCTCCCTTTGACTTCAAGAAGAACGACCATACCTTTCTTGAGAAATCGTCAATGATCGTGAGCATATAAGAGGCTCCACCTTTCGATGTAACCTTCGCTGGTCCCCATAAATCAGAGTGTATGTAGTCAAGTGGCCCTTTCGTCGTATGTTTGCCACCGATAAAACTCACTCGCTTCTGCTTTCCAAATACACAATCTTCACAGAATTCAAGTTCGATTGATTTGTGCTCCCCGAGCAACCCCCTTCGACTTAGTTCATTCATACCATGGTATGACATGTGAGCGAGCCTGAGGTGCCATAGACGAGAGCGATCAGCGTTGGAGAGGGATTTAGAACATACCGAGACTTCGCCGGAGATAACTTGCCCATCCATAATGTAAAGGTTTGCGGATTTTCTAACTCCTCGGATGACCACAGAACCTTCCTTGAAAATATGGAGTTTCCCGTCTTTGCCAACAAACTCGTAACCTTTCTTCTCGAAAGTACCGAGACTTAGTAAATTTCGCCTAAGACCGGATACGTGCTTCACATCTTGAATCGTTCGAACAACGCCATCGAACATGCGGAACCTGAGTGTACCCCGTCCAATAATACGACACGAAGTGTCGTTACCCATTAGAACGTGGCCTTCGTTAACCTTTTCATATGAATGAAAAACGCTTCGGTTGGAGCTCATATGAAAAGTACACGCTGAATCAAGTACCCACTCACTCGTGGTCATTAAACCGTAGTCTGAAACGGATAGAAGCTCGCCATCGGAACCAGTTTCGGCAACATCGGCTTCAACGGTGTTATTGGTTGTTTTTCCCTTTGCGATTGCCTTTGCTTTCTCCTTGTTCTTTAACTTGAAACATTCATCGATCAGATGTCCCTTCTTGTGGCAATAATTGCAATACTTGCGATTGGCTTTGGACTTAGATCTAGATCGGTTTTGTGAAGAGCTACCTCTCTCGTTAGGTCTCCCTCTGATGTTGAGACCTTCGGCTTTAGAATCGCTGCTACTGTTCCCAACTATCTGCTTCATCTTTTCCTTTGAATCAAGAGCAGTCATTACCTCGTCAAGGACAAGAGTGTCCCGAGAATAGATAATGGTGTCACGAAAGTGATCGTAGGAGTCTGGGAGAGAAGATAATAAAAATAACGCCAAGTCTTCATCTTCGTATTTGACGTCCATATTCTCCAGATTTCCTACAAGCTCTTTAAAGGTAGAGAGGTGATCAGACAAAGAACTACCTTCACCCATCTTTAGGTTAAAAAGTCGTTGCTTCAAGTGTAGCTTGTTGGGCAAGCTTTTCGTCATAAGTAGCTGCTCGAGTTTTAGCCAGAGAGCCGCTGCGGATGTCTCTTTCAACACATCTTGGAGAACGTCGTTAGAAAGATGCAGACGGATCTGCGACGACGCCTTCAGATCTTTCATCTCCTTTTCCTCAGTCGACCAAGTTGCCGGCATTTTCTCCATTCCTAATAGTGCTTTGTGGAGATCCATTTGGATCAACACATCTTTCATCTTTACTTGCCAGAGAGGGAATCTTGTGTTTCTGTCAAGTAAAGGAATATCGTACTTCATCGATGACATGGTTGAAAATAGTTTTTTTACGAATCGTTATCGGAAAACCCGGATAGCTCTGATACCAATTGTAGACAAATCGACTACAATAAATAATCGATAACTTCAAGATCGAAGTATAAAACCCAAATATCACGATAGCGATTCAACGGAATATAAAACTATTTGAATAATCAACCAAGAATAAATCGAACGATAAAAAGAAAAAACACGCGATATTTACGTGGAAACCCAAATCGGGAAAAACCACGGGCGGAGGAAGCCGAGAACCAATTTACTATAATATTCAGTGTTTACAGAGATAGAGGAAAGAAAAACAAATATATCAAATATATATTTGTATGAATATGAGAGAAAAATGAAGATGTAATTTGAGGTGTGTTGTTTTCCTTAATAAGCTTGGTTTCATTTCCTTTTATAGGCAAATGAATGTATGAATTCAATTGTCTATTACCATCCAAGCTTGACAAACATGCTACCATCCATTCTTGACAAACATGCTACCACCCATTCTTGACAAATTAAAACCACATGTGTAGAATGGTATTCTAGAAATCATCCAATGTTGAAGTTTGAAGGAAACTTCCACAAAATTAAATCCTTTCACATACCAATAATACAAGTAAAGGGCATATGTTGCTAGGGTAAAAAAAACATGCAATATTCAATTGGAAGGTACGATTGGGCAGTATTCAATTGGAAGGTTCAAACTGCAGAAAATTGAGAAAGAAGTACTCTCATTAAGGGCAAATAGGTCAAATCACATGACCAAAATACACTTCTTCCCCAAATAAGAGGTATCCCGATCAAACTGCAGAAGATTTTGTCGATCTCATGACCTGTCCCGCCGATCGCATCTCTCCCTCTCTCAACCTGCCGCCGTTGCTCAGCCTCCCCATCACGTCTGAATTATTTTCTAGGCTGGACTTTTGCTCTTTACTCATTATTTTGACCTAATTCCTTATTCCTCATTCCTAATTTTCCCCCAATCTCCACTTACACCATTATCGATCAGACTTCACTCTATAGGGAGCTCCTCTCACTCTCGTTTGCTTTGTCGTTCGCCACCTGCTCCGTCAATCGGTAGATTTTTCTCGATCTTCTTCGTCCCTACAGGTAACATTCTTCTTTGTTATGTATTTATTAGCTGATAATTTCACTTTTTTATTAATTTTATGAATTTGTTAAAATAGAGTTGAATCTGATTAGCCTTTTATTTCTTTGAAGAAGCACATCAATTGTAGTTTCTCACCACCAATTAACTTGAATCTGATTATCCTTTTATTTCGCTTTGATTCTGATATCTATTACATATAAAGCTTGATCGAGAGTTAAATTAGGGTTTTGGTGGCTTCATTTCATGAATAGAAAACAGAGTATTTCAGGAAATTAGGACTTATGGTTTTCCATAACAACCTCCTCTACGATATTTCTTTTGTTGTTTACATTTTGAATTCTTCATAATCAGCCAATCTAGATTCTGCAATTACTCTAAATTATGGATTAATTCGAATGATTGATTCCCTCTTTGAGAATTGGATACCATAAATCTTAGGTCATAAGTTGAATTATCCCCACCTAAATTATCTGATTTGATCAATTTTATAATGTTTGCGGATTTAGTGGAGACTTTAGCATTAATATTGTATTTATTAGCCGATAATTTCACATTTTTTTATGAATTTTATGAATTTTTTAACCTACAGTTGAATATGATAATTTCACTGATTTGATCAGTTTAACTCTATCACCAAAAGTTGTTAAAAACTACAATTGATGGACATAATATTATTGTCTAATGCATTATACTTATGAATGTTAATGTGCAGTACAGTAAACTGTTGAGTTGGACTTTTAAGACTTGGATGATTCTTTTAACATATAGTATACTTGAGTTTCATTGATTGTCATCAAAATGAGATGCAACTTGTGTGTAGATTAGGTGGTGTGGGTGGGGGTCTACTTTTATTCAAAGTTAGGTTAGTCTGTTTATTTATGACAGGTAAAGTTGTAATTTTTTAGTAGTTATTTGTTGTTGTAGTTGCATGTTTCTATCTTGATATATTTTTGTAATAGTGATTGCAATCCACATGCTGATCTGCAACTAGCAATGGCCAGAGCTCATCGTCTTGGACAGAAAAATAAGGTTAGAAATTATCACAGGAGATCATGTTGTGTTTTGGCTGGTTAACATAAGGGTGTTTCTGTAAATTCTGATAGCTGCCATTTTCAGGTTATAATATTTTAGACTTATAAAAAGAGGAACAATTCAAGAAAGGATGATGGGGATGACCAAGAAGAAGATGGTGTTGGAGCATTTGGTTGTTGGGAGGCTTAAAATCAAAACATCAATCAGGTACATGTTTATGATAATTTGATGTTCATATGCATGTTGACAAAATATATTACATTGATTAAGAAGTTGTTATGTAATCTGGTTATGTTTTATTACAATGTAAGAAAAGCTGGATGACATTATCATGTATGGATCAAAGGAATTATTTGCTGATGAGAATGATGAGGCTTTAAAATCAAGACAAATCCAATACGATGATGTTGCAATAGATAGGTAAATAATGCAAGATATTTACTCATCTATATTTATAGTTGTTCTGATTAAGCTTGTTAAATAAAAAAGAAATAATTCTAAATGGTTTTTTATATCTTCTTTTAACATTTGTAACCGTTGACACTTTGATAGATTGCTTAACCATGATTACATTGAAGAAGAAAATGCTGCAATGGATGATGTAGAAGAAGATGCCTTTTTAAAAGCATTTAAGGTTTTCATTTTCCGCACTATAAATCGACATTATTGACCTCTACACTAAAGATTTGAACTTTTTAATACTTATTGTGTATATCAATATGATTAGGTGGCAAATTTTGAGTACATTGATGAGGCGTCAAAAGAGAAAGAGGAAATACAAGAACCAAAAAGATCAAATTATTGGGAGGAGTTGTTAAAAGACAGATATGAAGTTCACAAATTGAAGAGTTTAATTCTATGGAAAAGGGTAAAAGAAGCCGAAAGCAGATGATGTCTGTAGAAGATGTAAGCTCTGATGCTGATGTTAATTATGAAGCAGAATTGTCTAATTGTGAAAAAGCCTTACAGGAAAAAACATTTGGTACACTTTTCAGTTGTATTTATCTTTTAATCATTTATAAGTTGCATAATTTGTTTGGGGTGATGGCATTTGTTCATGGACTCTTGTTTTAATCATTTTACAGTTGACAATGCTAAGTGCTTCCTCTTATACAAGGTGAAGGGAGAGCCTAGCTTACAATTTTATGCTTATTACAATCTCTCCTTTAATGATAATTATAGTAGTAATAATAATATTTATTATTGATAATATGCAGGATTCAGGAAGCAATCCAAGAACATATATTTAGAACAAAACATGGTGCCTCCATCCTCCCACAAGACAAGGTATACCTGATTGATTCTTTAGATTAAGCCATGTTCTTCTGGTTGCAATAGTTGATTAACCTATAACTAATGTTTATGATATTGGATATGCTCATTGATGGAAAAGATTCTGAATCTATTGATTTTGTTAACCATGTCAACATCTATTGATGTTTGAAACTTTGAATATTCTTATTTATTTTCTCTTTTTCTTTAATGATTAACAGGTAGTTATTGTTGGAACAGATGCAATCAAGAACTTTGATTTCTCTCAATAAGATATCGTGAGTTTCATTTTTTTTATATAATCTAATTGGTATCTTATTTTTTTACTATTATTTGAGGTTATGATAATATTTACAAAATCATACTCCCAGTTAAATGTATTTTATATTTGTTTTTACTATTATTCATTTATTTTGTGGTTATGATTCATTGATTTGCAATCTAATTTGTATCTTATATATTTTACTATTTGTTGAGGTTAAGATTTATAATCTAATTCATATTTTGTAAATTTTTACTATTATTTGAGGGTAAAAACATTTATTCATGTGTGTGTGTGAAAGCAAAATATTTGTAGTCTTTTTGATGTAGGTATAAAATTTGTGATTTCAGCTATTGATGAAAGATTTTTTTTTTACTTGAATTGATGGTTGTTGGTAATGTTACATGTATTTTGTTTACTTTTATCTGGACTCAACCATCATTTATGCAGTTTTCATTGCATCACAATGGTCTCCTAGAAGCAATGGCAAAGATAAGTCGTTTGTACTTGTATCTATTCAGTTTTCATTATGGAAGATGTCTAGTAGGATGTACACTAATGATGTCTATCTTCAACAATTTTATACATTTCAGATTTTATAATTTCTAGTTGGTCAAAAACTAGGGAAACCCTTAAAGCAAAACAAAATGGGATTTTATACAACATACTGAATTTTAATCAAGTTGATTGTAAATTTGATTTTGCAGGTTTTGCCATTTTGGTTGAGCATGTGGTTGTTTGTGTGTATGTGGCGGTTCAAATCTAAACTGCTTGACTGTATTTGTAATGAATATTCAGTTTTGATGATTAGACAACCTTGTAGAAGAATTTTTGATGATATAATATATTTATAAATTTGATGTAACTATTAAATTTATATTTAAAAACATTTTTATATATTTTTATGACTATTATAACTGGAAAATTGGATTTTATTGAATATTTTTATCATACTGAATTTGCTTCGGAACCTATTGTTGCGGATCAAATTGTTGTTGAACAAATGGCTACGGAATTTTCTATGAAACAGATGGCTACGGAATTTGTTACGGAACAAGTAGTTACGGAATTTGCTACGGAACTAATGGCTACGAAATTTCCTACGGAACATATGGCTACAGAATTTGTTACGGAACAAGTAGTTACGGAATTTGCTACGAAACAAATGGCTACGGAATTTGCTACAGAACAAGTAGTTACGGAATTTGCTACGGAACAAAAAGCTACGAAATTTGCTACGGAAAATAGTTACGGAATTCGCTATGGAATTCAAATGCAACGAAATAGATGTCGTAGAAATTGTCATAGCAAAATTGCTATGGAAATATAATTCCGTAGTTAAACAGTTTGCTACAAGAAATAAAGCTACGGAGTCTAATTGATAAATTACGTAGCAAATTCCGTAGTTATTTAGGTTTAGCTACGGAATTTCAGCTTTTTGCTACGGAATTTTTCCGTAGCTAAATTGAAATTTTCTTGTAGTGGATGTCCTTTGTAAACTTTACCAAATGCACCTTGACTAAGAAAGTTTCCTTTACTAAAATCATGGGTTGCAACTTGTAATTCGCGCAGAGAAAACCTCTTGAGTTTCCCTAGATGAACTTTGGGGTCCTCTCCATCTAAAAACATAAAAGAATCAAAAAACACATTTTCAACCAAATTATCAGGTGATCATCTTGTTAGATTTACTAATAACCTGGGAAATCTAAGAAACGGTCTTGTTGTTTTCTGAACCGCCACCAAGCGAGGGGAATAAGGATAGCAGCAGCAACAACAAATCCTCCGCCAAAAGCTATGATGCACAAGATGCCAACTGAAATTATACAATGAGAAGGCGATAATAAATAATTCCTTTACCCAAAATATGGACTTTCTGAAACGCATGTCAAACATAGTATAAGGGCTTTCCAATCGTGTCCTCACTTGTGAGACAAGTAGGACCTTAATGAATGACCACATAAACATAGATACATACAACCCATCACCACCGCCAATCCACCATGACCATACACAAGTTCATACATAAACATATAAAGGAGTGGTTGAGGTGTAAGAACCAATTTAGATACTAAGTGCAAGTGAAGACTTAAAGTTAAATTGGCGAATGAGAGATACCTGAAAGAGATGGAGAATTAGCTGGAGCCGAAACTTGTGTATTAAGGGCATTCAACCCCTCAGCTGTTGTACTCATTTGAAATTTAAGTAAGGGCCTGGCTGATCTCTAAACCATCAAAGCATTGAAGTTTTAATACTAAACACCATAATTTACATGTGATCTCTATCTATATATGTTGTATATGTCCACTATCTTCTAGTACTAGGAGGAAAAAAAACCTCATTTCCCTCATAATTCGTAGGAAATCCTTTGCTAAAGAGTTTTACCGACGGATATCCGAAGGACTTTTTCTGTAGAAAAAGGGCGAAATTTGTGACAGATTACTGATAGACCTTTCCGTCGGAAAGGTACCAGCATGATTTGTTTGTCAAGGAATACCAACGGAAATTAATAAAATAATTTTTTTTTAATTTTTAAAATCCATCGGTATTCTTTCGGAAATTACCAACTGCTTTTATTTCCGTCGTTATATTAGGGTTCCATTTTTGCCACTGTTCCGTTGGTATTATATTCGTAGGAAAAAAATCCTTTTCTAGTAGTGTTTAATTTGAAAGAAAACTACTATGAATGTGAAGATGATTTATGGAAAGAGGTTGTAGAAACCAAATATGATTAAGAAACAATCAGTTATTTAAAAAGCTAATTAAGTCCGAATCTAGTTATAGAACCCCAGCTAGCGCAGGATGAGAAGGGGGGTTCCAACCCTTTCTCCCAAGCTTAAAAGCCTGAATCCTCACCTAACTACGCAACAAGATCATGAAATACTTACAAAATACTCTTGCTTCCCTAGTGCCTTGCTAGCTAGTTGTTTGCAATATAAATTTTTCTTTCCAAAAAAAAAACCCTGCAAAATACCTGGAACTAAAAACACCGAATGCTAGCTTTACACAGCTGAAGCAAATAAAACCTATTTATAAAATTCAGAAATAAAATCAACGAACTAAAACGAAAAACCCCTCTTCATATAAGAATGTCTTGAAAGTGGTGATTCTGAAGTTATTTGTTATGGGTTTTGCTTGGTCTTGGTCTTTGCTTAGTCAGTCGAAGGTTCTACTTTTTTCTCCTAAAAAGACACTGGTTGTAGGGACAAAGTAGCGTATGAGGTGAGGCATTTAATCCATTTATTTTTCGTCAAAGGGAGTATTGACAATATAATAGATGACTCAAAAAGAACTTTAGAATTTGGACAATACCTTTAGAATATAAGAGCATAAATTGATAATAACTTGTTAACTTAATATAGACTTCCATGATTAGCTTATCACTACAAGAATAAAAGACATTAGCGGGGACACTTTTAGCGGCGACACGTAACTTTCGCATTATGTGTCGCCGCTAAAGGTGGATGTCGCCGCTAATGCCTATCGACCCCGATCCGCATCGAAATATGAGGTGAAACCTTATCCGTTGATTTTGTCCCTAATCGAAGGACTGGAAATCGATACCTTACATACCAATAGCGGCGACGGTGGCGCCACTAATACTCGAAGATTTTGACCGCCAAAGTTTCCCCCAAAGGTGTCGCCGATAATACTCAAATGACCATCAAAATTTCCCCCCAAAGATGTCGCCGCTAATACCCTTCGCAAATATAACCCCTTCAACTCATTTTTTCCTCTTCTGTGAACTCTTTTATCTCAGTCACCACTCCGGCAACAGCTCCTTCTTTTCTATTTTTCTTATTCTTTATCTTCTCCCCATGTGACATACTCGTTGGTGGTATCAGATTGTTTCAGTCCCTTGCCGAAATTTTTGAAGAGCCGAAATTGTTGAAGATCCGCCAGAATTTGTTGTTGTCTGCTAGAAATTGGCCGGAAAATTGGTCCTACTACCAAAATACCGCCAACGGTCCACCACCACTCTTCTTCGCCAGATTAAACGCCACCACATGTTCTATATATGTTTGTTTTAATTTTTATATGTAGAATGTATATTTTGTATATGTATGTGTACTTGTATGTATATCGTGTATGTATATATATATATATATATATATATATATATATATATATATATATATATATATGTGTGTGTGTGTGTGTGTGTTTTTGTATGTGTATTATGTATGTATTTGTGTATTAGTATGTGTATCATGTCTGTATATCTATTTTTTTATATCTATTATATATGTATGTATGTGTTTTTGTATGTGTATTATGTATGTATTTGTGCATGTATGTATGTGTTTTTGGTTATATGTTTTTATAACGTTTTTATATTTTTATAACAATTTTTATAATTGTATAACGTTTGTTTTGTATACGGACGGAGCGTTTTCAAAAAACTAAAAAAAAAAGAAGAGAAAACTACGATTAGTGGCGATACTTTTAGTGGCGACGGACGGTATTAGTGGCGACGGTAAACATTAGCGGCGCCAATTGGAGCATTAACGATGAGCCAACAGCAGCGACCCTTTAGTTGTGACGCCCGTCGCCACTAATGGTCATTATTCTTGTAGTGTATATGAATGTGCACTTTCACAACTTCTAACCGGCATTGAGCTAAGCCTAAATATTCCCCTCCAATCTCTTGTAAATCATCGACATATAATTGAAGGGGTAATACATATATTATTTAGGTAAAGTGGGCGATGAGGATTTTTAAGAGAAAAGCGGTGTGTCCCGGTGGCAAATACAGGTATTTTCGACCTATTCCCAACTAGGATATCACGCAAGATATGTTACCTCGATTATTGTGAATGTGGTTTGTAGCACCCGTGTCCATGATTTGTTTGTTCGGGTCTTGAAGAGACATGGAGCTAAACATTTAGGTAAGAGTCGTAGGTTGGCTTCTCAATTCCAAACCATGCCAAAGGTGGTGCTACAAGAACCTGAGAGAGATTTCCTGAGGCTTGATATGTGAGACAGCAACGTGGGCCTAGGTTGTTTGTCGAG